TTAAACCCGGGGAGAAAACGTGAGCATAGGTAAGGTGGTATTTCTTACCAAGTAAAGTTAAGGAAGAGCTTAAAAAAAGAAACAAGTCCGTTTTCTCTGATAGGTAACTGACCTACCGACATTGAAAATAGATTGCATACCCATTATAGTATTCAGGTAAATAGAGAGAAACCAGACGAGAAACGGTGACAAAGACGCAGAATAGAGACTTTGTGAGTTGTCTTAGTATAGGAGGTATTCAAGTTGATCTTACACATTCACAACAATCATGGAAAAAGACTTTGAATTAGGTATTTGATAAGATTCAACGGTCTAGTGTACTGATCTAACACTTTTGCTTGTCTTGTCTTTGTATTACTCTTCCGTGTGCAACAAAAAAGCTCTTCCTTCTTTTCCTCCGCCTCTCTCACATTCTATGAGGAGGATCCACCACTCTATGTAAAAAGATTTCTAGCTGCTGGTAAACAAGCAGGCGTTCTTCGCAACCAAACACCAAAAATAAATAAAAACAATAAGAAATCATGATCTTGAACATGAATTAAAAAAGCCGAAACAAAAGATGAACATAAAACAGCCCCTTTGGTATCGAGCAAAACGTAACAATACGAGTGGACCAAAAAGAACTCAATTCACTGTTGGAGCCTCCTCCCCGGTTCCAGTAAACGCCATATTCATAAACAAAAACAGTAAAAACAATCCAAAGTTCCGAGATTAAGATGGCAAGCAGGTGCGAATTAAATAGGGATAAGATGATAAAGCAGTGTGTGCGCAAAAACCTGCAAGGAGGAAGAGTCGCGAGTCTAGCGCAATGGGGGGAGAGAAAACTGCTGAAAATGCTCAAATGGGCTGTACATGTCGTGTATGCGTATCAGGAGGTGTGTGTGTTCTAGTGTATAAGCATTGGTGTAATGCATTTCTCAAAGCAAGATGCAAAAGCTTAGATTTGCATCGCCTCGTCATCGACCGCCATCTGGTCGACATCGTCGGCATACGCCAACTGAGACCAAACGCGCCAGTGAAGGATGCCAAGGTGTGCCAGTCTGGTAGCAATGTCGTCAAGGCTGGCCTCGTCGTAGGGCTCCCGTGAAAGGCCATCGGATTCGCGATCCGCTGAGCCGGGGCGGCGGCTCGGGACACGGACGCCAGTTGCCATGGAGAACAGGGCAACTCCAGAGAGCCCCTTGAATTCGCGCACGCGGTGGCCAAGATCAGCCATCAGGCGGCCGAGGAAGTTCTCTTCGACGTCTCGGTAGAAGCAAGCGTCGACATCGCCAAGGGCGGCAGACAATCTAGCCTCCAGCTCTGGCAAGGCGGTGGCTGGCAGGTTGACAAATCGGAAGATTTGCAACGCCATTGATGGAGCCATCATCTGCCATCGTGCAGAGGGCTGGCTTGCAGGTGGCGATGTCTGCAGCAGTGCGACCAGGGTATGAAACAGCTCACGGGCCTTGGTCTGGGAGTCCTGTCGGGGGGCGACATAGGAGGGAACGACGAATGAGGATCGAGGAGATGAAGAAGCAGATCCAGCTGCGCTGTGGACGACGCTTGATGGCCGAGAAATAGATGGTGGTGTGTTGAAGTCAAATCGATCCATGATGTCCTCGACGTGGGAAGACGCTTCGGATGAGGGAGCCGAGGGGGTAGATCGGCGGCTCATCTTCTCAAAGTCCTCATAGACACGCATGCACACCTCCAGGTTGATGGCATCCAGAACGTCGGCCCTTAGCTTCATCAGCCGCTCCTCGTCAAAGAGGAATGTGTTGGGGAGGCGTTCGTCCCAAGCCGAGGGGAGCATGAGCCTTGAAAGGGCCTCGAAGAAGACACCCATATCGCCAAATGACTGTGTAGGATGAGATCGGCTGTCGGTGTAGGCCTGCTCGGCCTCCTTATACCACTGCCTTGACATGCTGATGTCTGTCTTGCCAGATTCCATCCTCTTGACGAAGAACTTTTGCTCGAAATGAGTGGTATCCTCGATCAGGACGGGTCGCAGGCAGCGAATCTGATGGTTTGCCACGTCCAGCTTCATGGCCTCGAGAACGCTGAGCAGGCTGCGCATGCCAGTAACCAGCTCGTCGAGGTCCATGTTTCGGTTTCCACTGCTCAGCTGGTTGTACATGGTGTCAACCCACTCATCACGCATGGGCGCGCAGTGCGATTTCAGCACACGTGAGAGCCACAGGGCAAGCTTCTCCAGATCGGCAACGCCCTTGTGGAACTGCTGCATGAGGAGCTCGACGTTGAGGCCTTCATCCAGGAATTGGCGGTCTCGCTGGGGAACCAGCGTCTGGATGATGTCCTTGACGGCCTTCAGCAGGATGGGCAAAGTCCACTCGTCGGTCTCGCCATGCTTGTAAATGAATGTAGGCCTGTCGATGATAAACTCTGACAGCTCCTGCTTCAGCGTCTTCCAGAACTGATTTGCCTTGTCCTGCTTTCTGCGACCCTTTTCACCATCCAGATTGGGGCGGAAGTGAAGCTCTGGGTCGAAGTTGATGTCGTGGCGAAGCTTGGGGTTGTGAATGATCTTGGAAACGTCTAGCTCGCTCAGCGTAGCCCTTGTGACGGGAGGTTCCAGAGGTAGCGTGTGCAATGAAGATGGAAGGCTAGGCTCTGGGCTGGAGGCGGCTGAAGCGCCCACAGAGATGGCAGAGTCTGACGAGGGATTGCGGGTTAGGGGTGCAGACTCAGGGGCCTGACACTGTCGAGGCGAGACCTGTGATGATTGTGCAATCTCCTGTGCCGTCTCCTCCTGGCTCACTGGAGCGACTTCGGACTCCTTTATAGGCTCTGCGTCGTTCTTGGGTGGGCAGGGGGCCGAGGTTGACAACTGCCTTCGGGATCGCTCTATCGATCCTCCTGTCTCCTGCTCCGGTACCATCTTTGCGGTTGTTGAAATGTGACGGCTTCGAAATCGAGAGTTCTATAGTTCTATGCGAAGTGTTGTAGTTCCGGTAGCTGCTAGTATCAGCGTGGTGTGAATGAAGCCGCTTCTAGTTTGGTAAAGGCGAGAAGAGCTTGTTCTAGTGAGTGTATGACCTCGACTGTAAAGAGCTGATGGTTAGCATTTATCTTGTACCAGGTCTTACGCCAAGCCTCTCATGAAAAGCGTAACCGATTCAAAGAAAAGAGGCAGTTATCAGCAGATCCAATCGACCACTCAAGGTTACCACGCCTTGGCTCTTTGAGTGTCCAGCAAGCCCACAAAGAAAGGACGTCTCTTTCAGGGGCGGGGCGCCGTCCAAGTGCCGGAGATGGTACAGTCGAGAGCTGAATGCCGATTGGGCTGGAGGTTGGCTTTGTTGAACGTGTGTATACGTACTTTGTTGAGTGTATAAAGCAAGGTAAGGTAGATATGATATGCGGTTGAGGATAGGTCCGGTTCTCGGTATTGTTCCTTTTGTCCCCTTGATTTCTAAATTGATCCGCCAGATGTAAGGCTGAAAGAAACCCAGTCCAATTCAAAACGAATTCGCTGTTAGGCAATTCTCGCTAACAAGACAAAGCCGGGTTCGAAGAAAGGAGCCTTGGTGAAAGGTGAAAGTCAAGCACAAGCACAAGGATACGCCAAGTGAAGGTGGTGTATATGCAGCAAGCAGTAAAGAGAGGTGGTTGAGAGACGAGGAGACCGAGAGACGAGAGATGGATGTGAGATGAAAAGAAGAGAAGAAGAAGAGACGGGGGGGAGGGTAGAAGAAGAGAAGGAAAAAAGAAGGAAGAGGAAAAGTATGGAGGACAATTAGTCAAGTCTTGTACTTGTAGGAGGCGTCTTGCAGCAGGACTAATCTAGTTGCTAGCAAAAAGAAAAAGGAGCGGAAAGACGGGACCCTGGGAAACGGAGATGGCACGAGGATGGCAGGGACATATATCCAGGATCCGGAGGTACCTTTACTCGTCAGGTATGGGGGAGAGCCTAGGAGGTAGAGGCATGGCAACAAGGCATGGCCGGTACCTGAACCGGTACCTGTACTCGGGCCTAACGACACAAGTACATGTACGAGGTCACCCAGCACTGGCGCATGCAGGCCCAAGAGACCTCCTGAAGGGCTAGCGCTTTAGTGGCCTCGCGGAGGGAGGACTGCAATCTTAGGTGTGCCTGAAGTACCGCATACCTGGCGGTGGGCGCCCAAGAGTTGGCGTGGCAGCGTGGCAATGCGGGCTTGAGGCCGGGGAGAGCGAGGTAGCGGGTACCTGGGCTGGCACCTTTTCTGACGGTGCAAATGCGGCAGCAGCCAGGGCGCTACCGGTAGGGGCCATGATCCAGCGCACAGCGAGGACGGTACTCCGTGCATATGGGCGCATGTACCGGTACACGCCTCTCCGGTGCAGCGCCGAGGGAGGGATGGAGGGAGCAGCTACTGCGACACTCGAAGTTATTTGATGTCTGGTTCCATTACTGTACATCCATTTGAAATTGAATTTGCATTTGATGCAGAGTATTACGAGTACTATACTCGGACGGGCACCTGCTCGTACAGCGTGAGTGGCGCTACGAGTGCGGAATACTTGCCCGGCAGCAGTAATATTACCTCCATGGATGGTACCACTAACCAACCTTCCTTGAAGGTAGCCAAGTACATGGGCTTTGTTGGCCACTTGTATGTACGGAGTAGGTACTTCCTTACACTATCACGCGGCAAGGCAACAAAAGAAACATCCATCAAGCCATAAAAAAAGAAAAAAGAAAAAAAAAAAAAGTTCAAAAGAAAGGTGTGTGGGTACGGCATCACACGGCGCTCGACTGGCAAAAAGCCCAGGCAAAAGCCGCTGAAGGCGCTATCGGCGCTGACGCATGGCCTCAACTCAACTTCAATGGGAACAACAACCACAACGCTGGGGCTCCCGGAGGGGGCGACATACTCGCTGGTTCACCTCAAGCCACCTGCACAGGGGGGGGGCAGCTTAGCAACAGGTCACGGTACTTGCAGGCACATGTACGAGTACCTGAACATCCCGGCCACGCTGGGCTGGTTGAGGGTGAGGGTGAGGGTGAGGCGTGGGGGAAGACGGAGACCCTTTTGGGACACCACACTGTGCGTCCTGGGCGGCTGCTGGCATGCTCACGCTCACCCTTCCAATTGTGTGTGCTGAGAGGTGTGGACGTGTGGACAGTGCTGGGACTCGTACAGAGCGAAGAGCGTCCAGTCTGATGTGGGTACACCGTAAGTTGCTCTCCGTAGCGACCAGCCCTTGCATGGTCACTATGCAAGCCCGAGGCCAAACGCCGCGCCTCAAAACACAAAGGGCGGGATTCGGACCATGACTAAGGGGAGATGGAAGGCCTCTGGAAGGGAGGCAGACGGCCAATCAGCCAAACCGCAAAACGCCAAAGGGCGAAAGATGCCAAAGGCAGCCCGAGCATCAGGCGTGAAACGGCCGAGGTGCCATTGCCATTGCCATTCCCCGTCCAGCCCAGTCCAGTGTCCAGTCCAGCAGCCGGCCTGTGCAGCATAGTCGTATGTTTTATTTCATCACCGTCGTATTGTTATGCCCGACTAGTCGTCTCGTCTTGCCACGTCTGTCGTCTGGCTCGATGCCCTGCAGCGGCTAGGCATGAGATATCGCAATCGAATCGAATGGCGTGCAAGAGGGGGTCTGCCGCTTGGTGCAGGTGGTTTCTTATTAATCACCGTCGACTTTTTTCGGCGCTGGTGGCGGACAGTCTTCGTATTGGTCATTCCAGTTGCACCGCGGCCTTATCCCCAACCAAGGGCCCAATGTTTGTCAGTCTGCAAACTTCAGAAGCCAGCCAGTGCAAAAAGCCCAGCCTTTGCACTTTGCATTGCTGCCGCTAGATGCCCGTCTGCACTAGCAGTACCTCAGCGGCGCAACATGACAGCCTGTCACGCAGCCAAGTGCCACATCGCAGCGCCACTAGGACAATGGAATCGGAAAACTTTTTCATCTGCTTTTCTTTGTCCTGCCCAATTAAGCGTTTCCTCGGCCTTCCAATCGCACGGCCGTGTTGCCGGTATATCTCCGTTTCATTTGCCATTCCACCGGCTCCGACCAAAGAGCGAGCCGGGGCCGCATCCAAGGTACTCCAGCCCAGACAGACGATGAACAATTGAGAGCGCCTTTTGCCACCAGCTGACATGCTGGTTATACCGTACCTGTACAAGCACCCAAACGTTGCCTTAGCGCAGCTGGCCACTGGGAAAAGAAACGAGAGACGGCAAACGACCCAAGCTAACAGGGTAACCCCTTGTAGTGTGGGATGACACTCGATAAGATACCAGTAGCGGGTGAGGTTAATGCTACTCCATACTCCGTACACCTTCTATAATTATTCATGGGGCCACGTAGTTGTCCTGGATCTTGGGGTATCCAAGTCAACGAATTGTCGCATTCCCCTGTTTGTCGACCCTTTGATTGGCAATAGGAGTGCTGGAAAGGAATTGAAAGAAAAAGGGATTGGCTATCCAGCGTGCCGTGCCCCAGATTCAAATGCACGGTGATAGTATTGGTAGATCAATATTTCAAGAACGGACCTGTGATGATAGCAGTGGCGATAGCAGCAGGCATTGTAGAAACATAGCGGTAGTAGCAACTGCGAGAAGCACAAGGAAGACAAGTCATGTGGTGGTTCCTCCGCATCTCCTTCTGATCCTTGAACAGCTCAATTGCTGGGGTGTTGATAGCCACTTTCACAAAGAATGAACGGAACAAGAAGCAGTGAGCAAGAGTCGAATTGAGCTGGCTGCATATTGCTCATTTACCAAAGGCAAGGCATGGAACGGGGTCCAACACGGATGTGCTCTCCGTACTCCGTACTCGGAACGCCATTCCGTAGCCTGCTATTCGCTCCGTTTGTTCGCTTGGAGAAAAGGCGGCACTTGGGCAACAATACAGCACCCACGGCTATTTGCTCTGCTTGCCTAGACGAGACATGCTCCAGGGGTCGCCGCCAATTGGATGGCGCCCCTGGGGTTGGAGAGAGACCCCTGCTCATTGACGCCGCACCAGACAGCTGGGTACCGGTACTCAGTCACCCCCAACCCCAGAGGTACAAAGAGCGACCAGCGCTAGGAGCAAAGAGCACAGAGAGGGAAAAAACGGAGAGCAGTTTCGAACGGTTGAGAGGCCAGAGTCATTTCGTCCGGTTAGGCATGGTGGCATCGAATGTCGTTCTCAAGGCTGGCCAGGGCCGAGCGGATTATTCCGTGATCCATGCTTTTGCGGACCGCTGCCTGCCAAAGTCGAAGAAGAGTTAGGCACAATACAGCACAAAACAAAGAAAGTCCAAAATAGCAGGCTCGTAAAAGAGAAAAAAAGAAAGGAAATACTGTAATATTACGACTGCCTGGTAGTTGGTGGGAGGTCGTCGGGGCCGCATGCGGTGTTGGGTTAGTTCGCGGCTTGCGAAGAGCGACGGAGGTCACAAAAGGGGTGGGCGTGGCCAAAATGGAAAAAGAAACGAGGTGAGAAGTCGGTCGCTGGCTCTCACCTCCGCCTGGCCTCCGTCCCACCAGCTCCTAATGCAGTCCGTATGCGCTACTGCGCGCAAGTGACGGTGGAATATGACAGGTGGTTTGGCTTGGATGCGCTGTGCTGTGCTGGTCCATCTCCATCCCTTTGTTGAGCGATAATCCTCGCTGCCCCAGTCCAGCACTGTGTAATGGAAGCAATCTGGATTGCTGCATCAGGTCCAGAGGTGAGGTAGCACTGCTAGCCGTAGCGCTCATGGTGTACTTCGTACTAGCCCAACTGAGCCGCCTACCCTGATACTCTCAATCTGCTAGTACCGCCTAGTCTAGTGTGCACGCAGCGCCATGGGAGGGAATTCCATGTTCCGTCCCTTGGCCTTCATTTAGCACGGGCCGCAGACTCGCGCACAGTCTAAAACGGAAGTCCCTAGAAACCCCCACTGGGATGGCGTAGTCTCGTCTCGAAATCCCCCGAATCCAGGCACGAGATTCATCACTCGCTAGGGGCGATGGTTAATGTTCGAGTGGATGGATCCCTTGATCTTTTTTTCCCAAGACCCCGGATATGGTACATGGGCCAAGTACCTCCACAAGGCAAGCCTGCCCAACCAACCCGCCAAAAAGGGCCCGACTTCACTTTCCCGTCCAGTCTCTCTCTGGCTCTCTTGCTCTTTGGTAAATGCATCTTCTTGCACTGTCTTGTTGCGCTATCACACGCGAGAGCGAATTTCTTCATTCGCCGCCGGGCTAGAGTCAGCTCATTTCGCCGGCAACGGCCACGCGTGCAATTGCATTGCAACGAGGCGCAACTCTTCCTCTGACTCCTCCAGCTCCGTGCCCCTCTATCTCGGGCCTCACCGATGCAAGTTACAGACTCGTACTGCTACCGCGCCTTTCCCGCCGCTTCTACGGAGTTCTCGTACCGCTGCCAGCAAAAGTACACCGACCGCCAGCGAGGCGTGAAACGCACCAGCAATGCGCTTACAATAGTCAAGCCATCGTCTCTTGCCTCGCCCATCGCTCTCGTTTTCCCTCGACACCATCTCGACATCCCTCTTATGCAGACCCGCCTCTTGACTGCTGCCCTTCCCCGCCCCTCTGCTGACTTTTGGCTTACCGACCCCTCCAAAGGGAAAACAACGCACGAACGCACACGGCAACCAAGATGACAACAAGGTGTTCGAAACACAAAGCAAGCTCCCTCGCCGTACAGTAGACTCGCCAGATCCGAGTGGATAGCATGACTTCATCGAACAGCCACGGAGTGCCGAGATTGGTCTTCGTACTAGTACTAGTACTACCGAGCGGACCGCACCACCTGGAGAGGTAGAGCTACCTGGCGCCTTACTCAGGTCCCAGACATCTCTGCTGCGCCCTAGTTGACTCACTCACGCCTCGGCAGCCAGAAAACATGCGCTGTTGCTACAGTCCGTTCCGCCTTGCTTATTCGTATCTGGGCTTGTACTGTATCGTGGCCATGGATCTGACCCCAATGTTTCTCATGCTCCCTTGGCCGTCCGTCATCGTGCATGCGGCTCGACGAGACATATCCTTGCGGCTGTCGCCCTGAAGAGGGATTATGCAGTGAGTGCTGCAGCCGCCGCTACCGACTGCTACAGACAAACCGAGGTCTGCCACCCCACATGCGCTCGAACGAACCAAGTAGACGCTGCTAAGGCAGACGTGCACCAGGAGAAGCGCAGCTGGGCGCTGGTGCAGATGGACAAACAGGCGACATCCACTTGGGGGTCACGGGGGCATTGTCAGACTGCCACGGCTAGGACGAGACGGAGCCAGTTGGGCTATTCTTGACCCCATCCAAGCACATATTCATGTCTGGTCGTCGCTGCAGCACTCGTGGCCGCTAGGCAGCATGAGCTGCAAATGAGCTGCTCAACTGCTCTTGGGGGATGCGCACCTTGTCCGCCCTCTCCACCCATTCAATGCACCACGCGCCGTGCAACACCAGGCCTTGCCGGCTAGTGATAGCGCCTAAGCCATCGTTGCTTTTTTTTTCTCTACCCGTCAATCTCAGGCTTGCGTTGTGCGCCCAGCAGCAGAACCCGTAGATGCGCCACACCCAAAAGAGCTCTCCCTGGGGGTCCCGTGATGGCCAGGCGCAATAGCACTGGACAGCCTAGGATAACGCATGCGGACGCTTCTAAGGTCACTCATCTGACAGGCTCGAGTCTGGATAAGGTGACTCCAACCAGATGACGACAGCTCCCGCAAACCAAATCTCATTTGATGTTTCCAACGCCCCACCCGAAGCACATTTTCAGTTACAGGCCCGAATCTTAGTAGCAAATCGTTCGTTCCCTCACCTTGGCCCGTATAAGTGTAATTCTGCCGTCGGCCGCAAGTTTGTACCAATGAGCGCCGGTGGCCCGTCAACCCGCCTGTGTGCTCTGTGTAACAACCACAGGTCGATGGCGAGCCGAAGCCGTCTTCAGCAACCGCTATGGAGTCGGCATCGGGAAGATGTTGTAGCCACCGAGCCAATTATTCGTTGGCAGTTGCTGCATTGCGCCCAAAAGGGCAATGCTGTCGCCGTATTTAGCTTCTGCAACGTCGGTTTCTGTTTGTTGCTCGGACGGGGTGAGCCTGTGCTACACGCTGTGCTACACGCTGTGTCACCGCACTTGTCTCAAGTTCAGCCTTTCTGTAGGAGTTTGCAGCCGTGCCCTGCTATTGGCCAATAACTTTCCAAGTTGTGTCTCGTTCTCCTTGCCCTCATCTGCCATGTGGGAAAGGTTACAAAGTTTCATCAATAATAAAGATCATTGCCGTCTCTCTGTATTTCTACAGAGTGACTGGCCAACACCCTCAGCGACTCCAGCTCAGGTGTCACAGCGAGAGGCAGAGATGGAAGGCCTATCTACTCATCTGCCCCTTCTAGTATCTGTTATCCATTTTTGCTGTCTTTCTTCAGCATTTGATATGATTACCAAGATAAGTATCTTCTATAATCATAGAATTGGATCACCCGAAAGTGTTCCCATTGCCCGGCCTCTTTGCTGCACCGGCTCAGGGTCACAGCATCGTGAATTCGCGGTGCTGTCTGACGGCGAACGACTTCCAATTCGGGAGATTAGTTGGTAATTATACTTTAACGCCACTGTCCTACAAATTTCTGCTGGATACCGCGATTTCCCACAGTATCTGTACCTCGACGTCGATTCTCAAACACCTTTCCAAGCCAATTTACCGAACATGCAGAGCGGAAGCCGTGGCTGCAGCTTTCCGAAGCTTCCAGGGCCAGACGGGCACCCACTGCTATGATATCGGGTTGCATATTTTGCGCCCCTTGAGTCGTGAGTATGGAACGCGACCATGACTCGGCGCTCCTCAAGCCGCAATTATGAACAACAACGGCATGGCTGAAAAAAAAAATTATCAGTGGCGCCATGGTTTTTTCACTCCTTTCTGGAACTTTTCCATGTGGGAGTGGATCTGCGAGCCGCTTTTCGCTCCCATCTTTCTTTCTCCCGCCGTATATACGGTGTACACGGCCAATCAGTCGGCATCAAAGGAAGCTGAAAAGACCACTTCGCTGATTGATAAAAGGGCCCTAGCTCGGTACGAGACACGGCAAAATCGCCGTCGACGCCATCTACCTAGCCGAGAAGTAGTATTCGAGATGGAGGAAGTGTTGTTAGCCCATCCATTGATATGAAAGACATCCCTTGAGCCCCGAAAGGGCTAGGGCAAAGGAGTGAGTTGGTATGGTATGCCGATCATCATGGCATGATCAGACTATCATAATTAATGTTCAGGCCACGGAAATACTGAACCCGTTATATGCGGGAGTGCCTGAACTGGCCATCTGAGCCAACACTTTAACCATACATCGGGTGTTGGAGATGAAGATCATTCCTCTCCCATCGCTGGCGGGCAAGGGTCCTATTGAATCCACTTATTTGGACGGGATACTGTACGTGAGTTGAAAAGCAGTTGGCAGGGTGAATAAGGCGGTTTAGAAACCTGTCCGCCAGCTACGAGTACAGGTACGAAGCATAGCTGCGGCTACGAGTAAAGGCTGAGGCATGGGGGATATCACATCCTTGCCCTAGATCAATGATGTCGGGAGACCGGTACGAAACACGCCGTACTGTCCTACCGTCAGCACTGAACAGCGATACTTGTACAAGTAGGCAATGACATGCATGCAGATTCCTGGATAGTTTCTTGGCTATCCACTTTCGTCAGTTCCACTTCTCCTGTTCTCCCTCTCTTCCATCTCTTGAGTTGTAGATTGCCTTTTTGCCAGGAGGAAGCTTCACGCAAGTAGAGGTACTAGACAATGCTGCCCCGTTTCGAGACGACAAGTACAAATACACGCTCCTGCTGGTCAGACCCTCAGGCCGTTTCACGAAGAACACCGGAGAGCCGCGTTTCCTTTTTTCTGGTTTCGGGGGACGGGGGCTTGGTGTGGCCTTGCCGATCCCGCTAGTACAAGTATGATACGGCTGATGCCTCAGCACCAGGGCAAACCAAACGCCATAACGATTTCCACCCACCCAAGAAGAGATCAAATTGTGTGTATGGGAGAGTGTGTGTGTGAACGAGTCAACCGTTTTACTAACTGGCGCCAATTGAGAGAGCATTGAAAGTCTGCCATGGGAAAAAGGCTGGCACGGTGTGTCTGTTTAGGCCATGGAAAGCAAAGACCAGGATTGGGTTCCACCGCTCTCAGGCTCAGCGGCGCGCTCAACGCATTTCCGCTATGTAAGTTAGAAATGACCGTCCAGTTGGGAACACTTCGCTTCTGCATGCCCGAGGACACCGACGCTGGTGGAGTCCGCCTGCAAAAAGGAGCATACGAGTAGGTGCTGTGCTGTGCTGTGCTGTACAGTAAGGAGAGGGACAAGAGAGAGGCTGGGAGGATGAAGACTCGTGAGATCTTGATCGCCACGCGTTCTCCAGCTCCGGACTTCGAGTATACCTCGCTGCATATCGCCAAACTGCGGCTGGCCCTTTCGAGGTTTTGGTTAGCTCACTGGCACCTTCAGGCGGAAAGTTGTTTCGTCCCAGGGGATACTTTGGGGATTTGGGGTTCAAACGAGCTTCCTTTTCTGCTCAAGGCAGCCCTTCGATTGAGCTTTGTTAGCAGCGATACCCTGGCACCGCGGTCATGCACTTAGTCAGATTGGCAACATCGAGGATCTCGGAGATGACCTTCTGGAATGCTTCGAAATAAAATAACCCGGCTAACATAGTCATGCCACTGACGTCAAGGGTCCCAAGGGTAGGGGGGGGGGGGGGGGGGGGAGACGCGGTATATGTCGGTGAGCGAGGTACAGAGACTAAACACTTTAGATGATACAGGGTCTGCGAGATTGAGCTTTTTGGAGCTATTCATGCTGCACTGCACGCTTTGGTGGTGCTACTGCTGTTAGTGGTAAGGCAGAGTAGTAGCGCCGAATAACTTTATACGGCTGGGGATGCTACGCTGCGTTTTGGGAATTGGGGCCATGTGATTGGGGATGCTGGGGGTTGGTGGTTTGTTGTTCGTCAAGAGCGGTAAGAGAGGTTGTTGAGATTGGGAGCCGTGCGTGCGCTCTTGGTGATAGCCTGATGCAAGAAATGAGCCTGATGCTGAGGTGGTCAAATGTGTGAGGCCGTGCGGATTGATTTTGCCCTAGCGTCTTTATTCCCAATTGCAAGCCGTGGGAGTGCGTAAGCCTTGCTTGCATGTGAAAAGGCAAAAAAATTATGAGGAAGAGGCAAAATCATCGTGAGCCTCGTATCTAAGCTGACTGATGCTATTCTGGTCGCCAAGAGCGGGCGCCCAATGAAAGGTTGCTACGAAGGTTATACAAATAGTCCAATAGTCTGTGATTGACTTTTTCATTTTTGTCGCTTTTCGCCAAGAAAGTCAGCGAGGCTGGCAGGGCTGTAGGCATAAAAGCCAAAAGGAAGCTATCCCCAAACGCCAATCTAGAACAAGGCAGAAATGGATATGGAGTGTAGGTAACGCTTATGGAATGAAAGTAGCTACATGTATCCAGCACCTCAGTCTAGCTGTCCAATTGACCACAGTAATTATGGTTTAGGTGAGATGTAGAGGAAGCTCCAGTCATATATCTGGCGTTTTAAGTATCTACCATGTGACCATCTTCTTCTAATATCTAATCCAGTATTGCTAAAAATCTAGACATCTAAGAGATTTTGAGAAGTATAACTTTATATTGCGGCTCTATATACTCCGTAATGCCCGCACAACTGACGATATGTGATGCTAGATGCTAGAGAGTTAACTTGGGCTCCTGGGCAATCACATCTTGATCCCAGCTCCTTCAGTCGTATAAACAGGCGATAGTAGAATGGTTCGGTCTCAGTCGTTCTACTATTACCCTTTGCCTGGTTGAATCGAGAGAATATCTGCCTTAGGTTGTAAATTGAGTCTAAGAATACAGTAGAGATATGCTCCCAGAACCATGTCGACCAACCCCGTCACCTAAGACAACCAGGCAGTTTGTGCCAAGTCTGAAAACTGCTGTCTCCTCGGAGCATCTCTCGCGGAATTCGAACCGACTCTGATGATCCTGCTTCTCTAAATTCTGGAATTGCAAGAAGTGATATAGCGAGTATCCGCGCTGTTGATACTTCAGCAACACTATTCCGCTTCATCTCTGCGCTCAACTCATAGGAAAGTCCCAGATACTGAGGCGTGGAGTGCTGTTGGAAACATCCGCTGTGCAGCTTTCAATTGGACAGCGGCTCTGTAGTAGTAAATATTTGAAGTATTATATATTTGGGTAAAGATATCTCTATCTCTCTGGCGATTCGTTGGAGCGCTTCTCCGTAGACACATTCTCCAACACCGGTTCGTATGCTTTCCCGCTCCGAGGCTAGTTGACTCCATAGACAAATCTCGTGCTCATAACAAATGCGCAATCGCCTTTCAAGCTAATAGCCAAGCGGAATGTCAGAAGCCGCTGGTGTATCACCGTTCGAGCCTTCCTTGGCTTTCGTCCGTGGGTCATCGTACAACTTATCCATCATTAATTCTTTCGTCCCTTTTGAGGTGGCGCCATCGCATGTCTATCGAGTAATGTTGGGATGAAATATTCCCTGGACAGGCTTCATCCATTCGCTTAAACTCCCAGGGTCGAGCTGTCTAAAATGCATGTTTCCAAATGACGATTCGGGTTTCCATTTTTCTTTTCCTCTTGTAATGCGTAGAGCGGATTAGCTGAGCAGCATGGACACCTAGTCTCTCTTATTAGCATCATAGGTAGATAATTGAGGAGCTTGAGAGGTGTACGCACAGCCATGATAACACAGCAGATACTTATATACGGACTTAGTCGCTCCCCTATCCTTGCACACTTCCAGAAGATACCCATGACACTATATCTATATGTTAGCATTCGTCGTATAACGATTCGTGCGATTAATATGGCATTGCGCCGTACCCGTTCTTGTTCCGGTCCATGATGCCGGGCGTAAAGTGGTGGACATAGGTGCTCGTGCAGATTAAGAGCAGGATGACGAGCAGCAGGGACTTGAAGTTGAAAAGCGCAGACTGAATAGCACAATGTCAGCAGTCTAATCTCGGTTTATGAATCTTCACAATTCATCAATCATAGGGGATCTTACCATTTTGGCGACCTAGAATTAATGCTGCTCAAACAAGAACAAGTAAATGCATGTCCACAAGCTGTCCAGATGCCCGGCGCGGTCTCGTCATCCTTGGAGCTTGGAAGGGGCCAGATGTGGATAGGAGGAAAGATTTACCGATCCGATTGCACACGCGGGCCCCACATCAGCTGCAATGACATGCATGTCCCCACCAACCAGAAGTTGCGATTTCGACGCAGCTTGCGAGACGGTTGTTGCAGTTTAAGCCGCCTCGACTTTTTTTGATTCATCCATATCACGAGATTTTGATTGACAACTTCTACACCCGCGATCCTTTACGAGCCTATTCCTACACAATTTCTTAGAAGAAAGCAGGTTGAAGACCAGCGGGCAATCAGTTCAAGATGGAGCCTCGTGCGCGTGCCGGCAAGAATGTCGGCAAAATGAACTTTTCCCATGCCGAATGTATGCAATCCATTCATCCATCCAAGCCAAGACGAGAAAGAGAAGAGAAGCGTAATTACAGGGGAAGTTACAAGTTTCTAATCCGATTTACGCTCTGCAGTGGCCCAGCTCCTCTATGCTCACGGCGATATCAAAAATCCCATGCCCGAAACGGTTCGCGTTCTCGACGAGATTCTCACCGACTTCATGCAGTCCATCGCCTTTGAAGCGAACCGCGCAGCCAACTACTCGGGTCGACAAAAGATCAAGTACGAGGACTTTGAGTTTGCGTTTCGGAAGAACCCCTCGTTTCTAGGAAAAGTCCAAGAGGTGTTTGAGAAGCAAAAAGAGATTAAGAAGGCCAGAGAGATTTTGAGGGATGGAGAGGATGAGATTATGAAAGATGCGGCTGAGGAAGAGAAGAGAAAAGAGAAGGCGACGACGACGAAGACGAATAAGGTCGAGGAGGAATTGGGCGAAGCCGACGACGATGCTGAGGCAGAGGCTGATGCTCTAGGGAAGAGGAGGTAATGATGATGGCATTGACAGGATGCAATGTTTCTTTTTTTTTTCTTGGTTTCACAAAGCATTACTTTGGAGTTTGGGAAAGCATGGGCTGGTCGTTCGGAGGATTTTGGCAAGACTACGCCAAGTATATTTCTCCTTGTTTTCTAGACACAGGTCTCATCTACATACAACTAGATGCGGTAATCAGAAGCATCCATTTCACGATCCTTCAGCAAAACCCTTCGTTCTATTGGTAGCCGCTTGTTCTGTAGTTTCAGCTACGGCTGAACAGCCTGGTCTACCCCGTGTCCCTCGCATATGATATATCATGCCACTACTGCTGATAGTCCTGTGCGGGGTCGGCTCCGGAAGCCTAGAAATCTTCGAGTTTTGGATAATCTCGTTTTACGCTATCAAAATACAGCTATCCTCGACCCCATATTGACCAGGACACAGCGAAGGGGGAAAAAGCGGGGGATCCATTTCAGCGCCTTTGGGAATAGAGCGGAGAACGATCAGCGACCGATATCCGCTCGATGCCACCACACCATGCTGCCGGCCCGGCCGTAGATAGCGATATCGGGTCATCGTGTTTGGCCGGCTCCTTTGGTCAGCCTATCTTGCTATTCGAAACTTACATGCTAGTTCGTGCAAAATCCAGCGCCGATTCCGTCAGCCGTTGCCGCAGACAAAAGAGGCGCCCGCCCAGGCCGCTCAGCAACCGCTTCGGCCATGGGGCGAGTTCGCGGGGGCGATTTAGTTCGCAAAGGCGGCTAAGAGAGGTGACGAGGATATCAGATCCACCCCCAGAGGCCAATAGGGTGCCATGGGAGAGGTCGCCAAGCAAGCGTAGGAGCAGTCTCTGCGCTGCTGATGGTGTTGAGGAGAAGACGGTCACCAGGCGGATTTTTTTCTAAGCTAGAGCAGCAGAGAATGAACCATTTTGTAATAGCACATCATTGCTTCCTGAGTCAACCAGAGCTTTGAAATCCTCGGCTTGGTTGGTGTTGTGTTGTTTGTACCTGGTTGACACTATCAGCTTCGTTAATCCTAATGCAACTACGTCCTCTTGTGTCTTCAAAGTGATCCGAGAGGGCGATCATGGAGGTCAGCCGAAGGCCTGGATCTCCGCCCGTCGCGGCAGAGATTGAGCTGCACCTCACGGTGGACAAAAATCATGCGGACGAGGCAGATGTTTCTCAAGTTGCGCCGCAAAACACCCTTGCTCCAAGCGAATATCAGACGAAGTCGAAGCCATCTTTGTTCTCTGACGACTTCCGTCGTCTATCAATAAGCCCAGCTCCGAGTGGACGACTATCACCCGTTCCTAATGGACCGTATAATCCAACAGGACTCTTTCCATCTCCCCCCGAAGCGTCGTCGTCCGTGCTAAAACAGTTCTGGATAAGGAACAAACCTTCCATACTGGTAGCTGTCTCCCAGTTATTCGGGGCTTTGATGAATCTCAGCGCTCGACTGCTGGAGTTGGATGGCGATGGGATCCATCCGGTACAAGTCCTCCTCCTTCGACAAGGACTCACGGTCGTCTGTTGCTTCGCTTATATGTGGTGGAAGAGTGTTCCCGATTTTCCTTTTGGCAAAAAAGAAATTAGAGGGCTCTTGCTGCTTCGCGGCTTTTCGGGATTCTTTGGCATTTACGGCATGTGGTACTCCATGATGTATCTGCCACTTGCTGATGCCACCGTCATTACCTTTCTTGCCCCTGGAATTGCTGGCCTGTTATGTTACTTTGCTCTACACGAACCTTTCACGAGACCGGAGCAAATTGCCACGGCCGTCGCCCTTTTGGGAGTGGTTCTTATTGCGCGGCCGGTTTCTCTGTTCACAGCTCTCTCTCCATCCGACGATCAGGTGGTAGACTCTCCTGAGCAAGTGGATGGAGCCTTTCCTAGCCTCGAACATGAAGCAACAGCCGAGGAACGACTGGTGGCCGTTGGCGTTGCGCTTCTAGGCGTATTGGGAGCTGCCGGTGCATTTACATGCATTCGTACCATTGGAAAACGTGCCCATCCCCTGATTTCGGTCAACGCCTTTGGCATGGCATGTACCATAATCTGCGTCCTAGCACTGACTCTGGCACCAAAGTTCGATATCAGCCAGCCTCACTTGAGGTGGATCACGCCAAAATCATGGAAAGGATGGTTTCTGCTTCTATGGATAGCAGTGCCTGGCTTCATAATGCAGTATCTTCTGACTGCGGGACTGGCAGCCGATACGTCCAACAGAGCAAACGCCATGATTTACACGCATATGTTGTTTGCAGTCAGTTTTGACCGATGGATATTCGGCCACAGCATGAGCATGATAAGCTTCGCCGGTTGTGCACTCATCTTGGGTAGTGCCATCACTGTCGTTTTCACGAAGAACCCGCCAGTTCGGACGACCAACGATATCGAGAGACAGGGCAATATAGAAGGAGAAGCGGAAGGCTCTCCAATGCTCATCGATACAGGAGGAAATGCTGAAGGAATAAATCTGAGGAGAGTTTGATCTGCATACTTCTTGTAGAGTTTATGATTTTGATGGTTTAACGAACAGGATGGATTACATGCATTCTTGGTAGACATAAATTAATGCAGTTAATAGCAATTAATAAAGTTTACATTCTTTTGGTCAATCACCTACCTATTACAGCGCTATTGCTAAGTGCATACTATTCCCTGACCTTTTGCGATAGCTACGTCCACTTGCACGTATTCCTGCTGCCACCCCAGTGGTGATATGGTGATATTTGAGATGGCCAACTAAAAGAAGTAGACAATATTCCAAACTAGAAAGGTGAAAACCCATAACAAAACATAAATCGTGGATAACAACTGGAAAATAACTATTCAAGCTCACGGCTTTAGGGTAGGCGAGCTGCGGTTGCTGGATCTGAGCAACTCGGATCACGTGCCGAGAAGCTGAGCTAAGAGTCGCGACGCCGCGCTTGGTAACTCGATAGCTGCAGGGTTGCGATCCAATCGCAAAAATTCAAGATCATCGACTCTGGCCTCTGGCAATTCCGCTTGTTTCCCGGATATGCTATAAAATCACAACCCCAACCATATTTCGTTCTAGGTCTAGGGTCGAACTTTTCTTTTCCACCTCTCTCTTTCTTACCATTGACGTCGAAAACCGGAACGCATAGCCAAGATGGTTCAGATCAGCGAGGTCAAGGGCAACAAACGCGATAACCGCACCGCAGCCCATACGCACATCAAAGGCTTGGGTCTGAAGTCGGATGGGTATGCGGACACACAAGCTGCTGGCTTTGTCGGCCAGGTTCCCGCACGAGAGGTAAGCGGTCTCTACACCTGGCATTCTTTTCTTTTACTGCAGCCTGCTGACGATTTTTTTCTACTTCGCCAATCCAGTCATGTGGCGTCGTTGTCGATCTGATTCGAGCTCACAGGATGGCCGGTCGAGGTGTTCTGCTAGCTGGTGGCCCAGGAACCGGAAAGACAGCTCTGGCGCTTGCGATTAGCCAGGAATTGGGTACTAAGATTCCCTTCTGCCCGATCGTTGGCAGCGAGATCTACTCGTCCGAAGTCAAGAAGACCGAAGTCTTGATGGAGAACTTCCGAAGAGCGATTGGCCTCAAGGTCCGGGAAACGAAGGAGGTATACGAGGGCGAGGTTACCGAACTTACACCAGAAGAGGCGGAGAACCCATTGGGCGGCTACGGAAAGACTATCAGCACTCTGCTGATTGGATTGAAGAGTGCCAAGGGCCAGAAGAAGCTTCGACTCGACCCTAGCATTTACGAGGCCATTCAGAAGGAGAGAGTCACTGTTGGCGACGTCATCTACATCGAGGCGAACACTGGAGCTTGCAAGAGAGTGGGACGATCCGATGCGTATGCCACCGAGTTCGATCTCGAAGCCGAAGAATACGTGCCTATCCCCAAGGGCGAGGTGCACAAGAAGAAGGAAATCGTGCAGGACGTCACATTGCATGATCTTGATGTTGCAAACGCTAGACCTCAGGGCGGCCAAGACATCATGAGCATGATGGGCCAGCTGATGAAGCCCAAGATGACAGAGATCACCGACAAACTACGTGCCGAGATCAACAAGGTTGTCGGAAAGTACATTGACCAAGGCGTAGCCGAATTAGTCCCTGGCGTCCTGTTCATCGACGAGGTAAATATCTTCCCCATATCCTTATGCTGGGGAAGAGAGAGAGAAGGAGCGGAAATCTACTGGTATCAGACGCTAACGCTGGATTACAATAGGCTCACATGCTTGACGTGGAGTGCTTCACCTATTTAAACCGAGCATTGGAATCACACCTCGCTCCCATTGTGGTTTTGGCATCCAACCGTGGAATGTCCACAATAAGAGGTACCGACGACGTTGTCGCGGCCCATGGCATTCCTCCCGACTTCCTAGCCCGAATGCTCATCATCCCCACCTCCCCATACTCGGCAGACGAGATCAAGAAGATCGTCAAGCTCAGAGCCACGACAGAGGGTGTGTCTATTACGGACGCTGCCATTGACAAAATTTCCGAGCACGGTGTCCGCGTCAGCTTAAGATACTGCCTACAACTGCTGACACCCTCAAGGTGAGTCCCATGGTCGTGAATGAATAGGTCCCTCACATGAGACACAGAGAGCTGACGTGTGATGCCAACAGCATTCTTGCCAAGGCGAATGGCCGTACTCAGATTGACGTCCAGGATGTGTCCGAGTGCGAAGATCTTTTCCTCGACGCCCGCCGTAGCGCCTCGCTTCTTGCTAGCGAAGCGGGACGGGGCTATCTGTAACCTTGATTTTGAGAAGCTGTAGACGAAGCAGGGCTAGATCGGGTGAAGGGGGGAGGATCTCATTGTGAAAGATGACGCTGGGCGGTGTGCCGATAGCGCCACTGGTTTATAGGTCACGACGGATTCAACAGAAATCCTTAGACACTCGTGTGTTTCTTTTTTCTTTTTTTGGTTTGGCTGTTTTCCGCGCGATGTACGGAGTATGAGTACGGGGGCTAGACAGCCCTGGCAAACTATTGGGCTTGGACGAAAGTTTCTGAAATGGCGGGCAAGCCGTGTTTCTTAGGTGGCCAATGTAACAAGATTGTCCTGCATATTTCTACAACAGTGTCGGCCTCCCTTACGCCGCACGCCCAACTCCCCGAGACATCGTGGGCCTTTAGGGAGAGAAGAGGCCAGACCGAGCCAGTGTGGAGAAGAACGTTGAAGACCGAGAGCCATGATTCGCGCTCCACCCCTTCCTCTTTGTTTCGCTGCGTTGTCTAGAAGCATGGGCGTGAAGATATGGCAACGTTACGGAGTAGTATTGACGCTATAGGACGCCTCGTGGCCGAAGATGGATGGCGATATGCGTGCGGATTCGCACTAGAACGGGGAAGAGAGGCGGCGGAGTCGGACGCAACGCTGAAGAAGGTCCATCATCACGTGTAGTAGAAACTTTTGCCTTGGCTCTTGTCTTGAATGGTCGTCTTTGTCTCACAAGGTAGCATTCCAGAGGGCAGATGGCGCGCATTCCAAAGACGGCATTGTCCGTCTTTGGACGAGGGTTCGGAAGGGGGGGAGGGGTGGTAAGAAAAAGCCCCGGAGGAAGAGAGACGAACCTGAACTCGGCCTGGGCGCAACTATGGAGTCAGTGTCTTTGAGAAGCGAATCAGAAGGCCATTGTGAAGAGGAAGAATGTTTTGGGGCCGAGAGACCAGAGAAGGAAGAAGAGACGAAGAGCCACAGTAACGATCTCACGAAACAAAGGTTCAGCTGCCTAGCCGGGGCTTTTTGTCGCGACCACCCGTGTGCGGACGTGCGCGCATCTTGCTGAGAGCAGCGATCGAGCAGAGAGAGGCACATGCTTCTGCGTCTTTTACTTTCCTCTTCCCCCCCCTTTTTCGACGTCGTTGCTTGTCGGCTGGTCGGGATTCTGCGACTGAGTGACGGAGGTGGATGGGAAAACGGAGGAATCAACAAACCGCAAGACCTCGAGGACCATATACGGGCCACGAAGCTTTTATTTTACGCAGTCCTTGCATCCAGACTTCATTTTATCAATCTCTGTATCCTTATTTAGTGCCATCGTCAATCTCGATCAACGGCTCAAACATCTCCCTTGCCCCCGTCTTCTCTCGACCCTCCGGACACGCTGCTCCTCGTGTTGTCCTCGACATAGGCGGAGCCGTCAAGTGGCCTTACGGCCTTCTCTGATCAAGACATTTACTGAGACATGTAGGGGTGTCCTCGACCACTCATCATAGAGTATCCAGTGGCGGCTGTCGACGGGAAAGAGCAGCGCTATTGTGAATGGCATCCTCCGACATTCACAAACCCCCGGGCCCATTAATCTTTTCCACCTTCTCTCACAGCCCTCTTGTTTCCCCTATCAATTTCCGAAGCCCCAGAAAATTTGATAAGCCATCTTGTCACTATTTCAATACTACCTTCAACTTGAGGCTTCGTTTGCCGTTTTACTGCAATTTGTTTGAGCTTCCCTAGGGTCTCTGCATGCTCCCTTGTTCCTCCATTGTTGCTCGGAAACAATAGACTCAAGTCGTTTACACATAGCTCGGGAGCCTTTTCGACTCGTCTTGGAATATCCCATACATAATATCTTCCATCACATCTTTACTATAATACGCCTCATGTTCTGTCTTCGACACGCCGGCGACGTTTAGACATGGCTGCGTTCCATGATCGCAACTATCTTGACGAGATGGCCAAAAACAACAGACCCCAACCAGTGTTTGAGGGCTCACAGAATTCTTCAAACCCTACAGGACGACATTTACGTGCTGCTCCAGTCCGACCTCCCTGGGAACACAGAGCTCAGCCTGATCCATCCTCATTCCACTATCATGGCCATCCTAACGAAAGAGATCACACCAGTAGATCTCGGGAAGAGATTAGAGATCGGCAGGCCTCTACACTCCCTCCACAGTGTACGGATATAGCTTCGTCTCGTTATCCCCAAGAATCTGAATACGCAGCCGAGTGGAAACGGGTTGAAACGCCGCTGGCCTCGCCTTTCCAGAACGGAAGCCATCTTGATGATAGAGCCTACAGGGGAGTACCCCCTGCATTTTCGAGGAATTCGCAATGCTCTCCAACCTTTGCAGGGCGGCGTATGGATACGGTCACGGCACAGCCTCATAAGAGTGCAGATTTGATGTGGAGGGGAAGCTCTGACGAGATGGCTAGAGACTCGCACAACTCTTCAAGCCCTACTGGACTGCATAGGGATATGTGTCAAACTCGATCTCGCATGAATGATTTTGATGACATTACCCGGAGAAGCAGCTCCGACGCAGTGACCAGAGGCTTGCAGAATTGTTCAAGCCCTGTCAGCCGGAGACTAACTATATCTCATGGCACATTCAGCACGAACCACGAAGATCGGAAGTTCAGCATCTCATCCTCACTGCAAACTGACGGTAGCGAAGACTTTGATTGCAAATGTCCCAAGGAGCCACCTAGGCCCCGAAATAGTAAGTTGAGATCTGTCTATTTGATTCATTGTTGTGGCAACAATACCTAGGAGTATGAGCCTACCATCTTCAGCGGACTATCGCTGCACAGATGTTGCCGAGGATCATTGCTGACTGAGATCTCCCAACCATAGGTTTTATGTTGTATAGGCAGTATCACCAAAGCGCAGTGGCGAAGGACAATAAGGGTTCATCCAATCCTGAGATATCCAAAATCATCGGAACCATGTGGAAACGCTTAGGAGAAGAGGAGCGTAGAGCCTGGACGGAACTGGCGGACGAGGAGAAAAAAATGCATGGACTCAAATATCCAGGCTATCGATATAAGCCAAATCGCAGACCAAAGTCTCAGGGAAAGCAAAGCTATCGGTGTTCCAAGTGTGGTGGTCGGCAGAACAAGACGACACGATCTGCAGAGTCACCAGGATCACCACGGTCTCCAGAGTCCGTAGGCTCTTCACAGTCTTCGCCGTCCTCCAAAACACCGAAGGCACCACGGGGGCCTCGAGGCCCGCAGGGGTATCAGGGGCCACGAACACCGCGAACCCCAAGAACATTACCGACTCCAATCACACCTTTCGCAGCCTCGGCTGAAAACTCTTTCGCAACTCCTCTGTCATTGGCAGGCCATAGGAATTCAGAGTCACATTCTTGGCCGCCTCCCAATGCACCAAACACTTTCCCTCGTCGCCAGAGTGGCATTACGCCCTCTCTTCAGAGAATAATCGAACAAAGAGAACCTCGAAGTCCCAGAGACTACGGCTCAGCATCGCCGGACAGGAGACGACGCCGAACAAACGACGCCGGAGACTACTGTGCAATCGGCCCCGATTTTGATAATGGAAGACGCCCAGAACTGGCATTCCATGAGAGATTGGCGACGTCTGCTGTGCCTGAGCCTGCGTCTTTTCCTAGGTCACAAAGCCTTTCCACTCTACCACCACCTTCTTGGCAGCAGGGTACAGATACGCGACAGAGTTCGGGATTTGGCGATCCTCCACCTCTTCCTACTCTTGAGCCGCCGTTGCCACAAACTCCATCATGGCCATCTCTTGGGAACTACAGTATACATAGGCGTCTTGAGGAAAAGTCATAGAGGTTTATATCTTTGGGCGGATGCTTTGATTGTAGCAAGAATGAGAAATACGAATCGACTAAAAATTGGGTATCAGAATTCATAAGGTAATATGAATATAAGAATGGACTAGAGGAATGTATAAAGCACAATACGCAAATAGCATTTGTATATTATTGTGCTTTCAATGAATCAAAGTCACCAAATATGTTTGATGGAGGTGACCTTAGTAGCGCAATCAAAGCTACGATAGCGGCTGGGGTGAGCTTATACCCTTCTAGTCTAAAAGAATTGAGAGATTTCGTTTCATTTAACTTTTATTTAATAACAATTGCGTATGGATGTGGTTGCAGGTTGAGGTGTTACAAGAACATTGTGATACGACCTGCTGTAGTACCAAGTATGTATTTGCCTCCAGTTGATGAAGAGATCTGCTTATTCTACACTCAGAAAAAATAAATGCTATGTTTCATTTTCAATATCGATATCAATGGAACCGGCGGCGATGTTCGGTAGAGTTATTGTGATCCATCTGGTCAAAATGACCCGCTCCTTTGACACCACCAGCATCTATCAAGGTAGATGAATGTTATCTCTTTGTGGAGTACAAATAGGTATATTTATGTTCTATACATAGACTTTAACAGTCATTCTATTTATTACTGAAAGGTTGGCTCTAAAGAAAAGACAAAATCGGTATTTGCACAAAGAAGTACCCTGCTAAAAATAACTGGCAATGAGCCTCTCTTCCTTGCCATTGAACAGCAGCAATCTCTTTTATCTTTGCCTCAGTAAGTCAAGTTCTTCCCTTGTCTGCCTAATTTGACGCTTTGTTATTTCAAAGCGTCTGAAAATAACTGTATCCATAACTTGTGTATGATATTGAAAGGCTTCCACCTCGACCCCGACTTCATCATGAACAGTCTGGCGGTGATCGAAAGCGCCTTTGTAGAAGCGGGCGGATTTAGCACAATGCTTAGAGCTATGTACGTACCTAGTACTTTGAGCTCTCTCCTTGCATCCTAGCGTGAGCCAATAGCGGGGTGTCTATGCAGCCTTTTAGCGGCTTAGTGGTTCGCAGAGCTCCCTGAAAGCTGCGCAAGCGAAGGGGGGAGTTCTTCAAAGTATGTACCCAGTACAAGCCGCACCTTTGAATCCTCCCTGCCCTTGTCCTCTCGCGCACAGCAATCCAACGCGACTTACCTCCACTTTAACCTCCATACAAGTATTGCTTAATACCTCTGCTTCCAGTCCCTCGCTAGCTCATCCAGACCTACAGCTATCGAACTCCCTCTTGGACGTCAATCTCGACAGCAAGCAAGCAAAATACTCCGAAAACCAGACAAGCAGGCGCCACATCCCGACCGCCGCGAGCCTCATGATGCAACATCTCCCCTCTGACCTGTCGACATAATGCCGGACTTCAAGCCTGGGCAGACCGTCTTGCTCAACGATGGCCGCAAGGCTATTGTGCGGTTTGCGGGCCCGACTCACTTCCAGGTGGGCGAATGGATCGGCGTCGAACTCGAGGAGAAGACGGGGAAGAACGATGGCAGCGTCCAGGGCGAGCGATACTTTGACTGCCCCATGGGCTACGGCATGTTTGTCAAGCCCATGATGGCCACCATCATCGCGCAGCCCGCCGCTCCCAAGCCCGCTGCAGCAGCTCGCAAACCGGCCGCCAGACCGTCTGGATTCCACCCTACCGTGGGTAGAGCTTCGATTTCTGGCGGCGACGCCAATCTCAACAAGAGGAGGCCTAGCATCAACGCGCCGAGCCCCAGCCCGGTCCCTCACCACAAGCCGTCGCAATCGTCGAGCAACCTGCGGGTAAGTTGATGCGCCCTTGGTCTAGCATGTCCGTATTAACAGAGAAACTAAGTCGCCTTCTAAATCTCCCACCAAACAGCTTAGCGGTTCGTCGAGTGCTAGCGTTTCTCGAACGGGGACACCCTCAACCGTCCGGGTGCCATCTGCCGCGGGCAAACCTCGCACCGCCCTGCCAAGCTCGCGGACGTCCATGGGCCCTCCTCCGCCTCCTCAACCTGGCCAGCGATCGTCAGTGCGACAGTCGTCGGTATCGTCAGTTCATTCGCGATCCGGCAGTGCCCCCACGAGACCCATCAGCGGACGTGGCGGTATCACGGCCCCCAAGGGTGTGTCGCGTCCCGAATCCGGCCGCCGGACTTCTACCAGCTCTCAGGGGGGACGGGACTCGAGTTCGGCCACCAGATCCGATGAGCTTCTTAGCTCACCCATTGAAGCCGAGGAGGATGAGATACTCTCACCGCAACCGACAAGCCCATCCGCTGGGAGGGCCAATGCGCTGGAGAGGATTGCGGCCGAGTCTTCCGTACCTTCTATAGCGGCTTCGTTAAAGAAGCCTGCGGCGGCTGGTTCATCGCGGTCCTCCATTGGCAGCACTGCCGCGAGTAGGGAAATCGAAGATCTCAAGGCGAAGCTCAAGGTTCTGGAACGGAAACGGGTTGAAGACCGGGACAAGCTGAAGCAGCTGGACACAATTCAAGGAGAAAGAGACAAATTTGAAGGCATCATTCAAAAGCTACAGCAGAAATATCAACCTATCCAACAAGAAAACACAGACCTAAGAAAGGCCATCAAGGAGGCCGAAGCGAGATTTGAATCGGTCGAGGCTCTTCAAGCGGAGCATGACACTGCCCTGGAACTGGCTACCTTGGATCGAGAAATGGCCGAAGAGACGTCTGAGGTTCTGAAGATGGAGGTGGATGCATTGAAAGAAAAGGCCGAGGAACTGCAATTGGAACTCGACATCTTGAAAGAAGAAAACGCCGAGTATAGCAAGGGTATGACCCCGGAAGAGCGTGCTAGCACGGGTTGGCTGCAAATGGAGCGCACCAATGAACGATTACGAGAGGCGCTGCTACGACTGCGAGATCTCACGCAAGAGCAGGAGCAGGAGCTCCGAGACCAGATTGCGAGCATGGAGGAGGAACTTAAGGAATTCAATACCCTGAAAGAGGAACACACCACAGCCAAGGAGAAGCTGGCACAGTCAGAGTCGGCTGTAGAAGACTTGCGCCAGCAGCTAGACACCGCACTTGGTGCTGAAGACATGATTGAGGACTTGACGGAAAGGAACATGAGCATGTCAGAGCAAATCGAGGAGCTCAAGGCTGTCATTGAGGACCTGGAAAACCTCAAGGAGATCAACGACGAACTTGAGATTAACCATGTTCAAAACGAAAAGGAGATGCAGGAAGAGCTTGATTTCAGGGACAGCGTCATTGCTGAACAGGCAAGACGAGCACAACAACAAGATGCTAACTTGGGCGATATGGAATACACTCTATCACGATTCCGAGAGCTCGTTACTAACTTGCAGAGCGACCTGGATGACATGCGGGCCTCCCAGGCCGTCACCGAGGGCGAGTCCGAGAAGCTCAACGACCGCTCAAGGGCCATGATGGACCTGAACATGAAGCTCCAGATTTCCGCCTCCAAGGCCCAAGTCAAGACGATTGACCTCGAGCTGAGACGACTTGAAGCTCAAGAGGCCGAACAACACTTGGAAATTCTTAAACTATTCCTTCCTGATAGCTACCGAGATGACCAGGACTCGGTTCTTGCTCTCCTGCGATTCCGCCGATTGGCATTCAAGGCAAACCTTGTCAACGGCTTCATTCGGGAGCGGGTCAACGGACAGCCCGAACCAGGCCATGAGGATGATGTTCTTGCCGGCTGTGAGGCCATCGACAAGCTTGTTTGGGTTGCCTCCATGTGCGATCGCTTTGTCAACGACATCAGCCACTGCACTATTGAGCAGTTCAGCAAGTACCAGAACTCTCTGCTGGAGCTGGAGCCCGTTGAACGTGCGCTGAACAGCTGGATTGATGGCCTGCGACGAGACGAACTGAAGGAGCAGAAATGCGCCGACGAACTCCAGCGCACTATTTCGCTCATGTCTCACCTTGGCGAGGTACACATTTCCAGTGGCATCGCTGCCTTTGCTGATGACATTCACATGAGAGCTCTTATTGTTCAAAGCCACCTCGATTCGGCAACTGTTGCCTTCAATGTGATCCGAAGCATGGTGCAGCGGGCTATCCCGGCTGCAGGTGAAGAAGACGAGCTGGCACAGCATTTCGCCAAGAAGATTGATCTCGCCATCACGCAAACCAGAAGCACTAAGGTCTTTGCCGGAAAAGCGGTTCGTGCTTTGGAAGATCTCAAGGCACGATCCCTCTCACTGGGCGAGGATACTAAGGGTGCGTTTGAACAATGCGAGACTCTGACCCAAGAGCTCGCACGCCTTACTCGTGATATTGGCCTCGGTATCCATAAGCTCCTCACCCATGACGAGGGCCGAAACGAACCCTTCACCTACAGCGAAGTCAACGATGTCGTCCGCCAGGCTGTTCTCGAGTCCACACAGACCAACGAGTCCGACCTCTTCTCCAGCTATCTTAACAAGCTCAAGGTCGCTACCGAACAGATTTCTGATCTGGCTTCGCTCGCCGCCGATTTGGATCAAACTCACGACTATGATGTTAGCCCGTCTCCCTGGCGCCTCCGTGCTCAAGAACTCAGGATCCTCAAGACAGTTCCCGTGGACACCGAGGAGGAGCTCAGAAGGCTCAAGGCTGAGCACAACGAGGTCCGCCGGACGATTGCGCAGCGAGATGAACATCTTAGCACAGCTGTCCTCAAGATTGAGACGCTCGAGTCTCGGATGCGTGATGCCCAGGCCAATGTGGAGCGCATTGGCAGCTTGCAATCCGAGCTTGAGGAGGTCAATGGCCATGTTACTAGCCTCAAGGAAGACATTGAGAAGCAAGACCGAGAACTCAAGAACCTCGAGTCGGAGCGAGACAAGTGGAAGAAGATTGCCAGCGACAGCAGAGCATATGCTGATGGCGCCGATGCTGCGGACATGAAGGCCGGCCAGGAGCGGGCTGTTGCCACGGCACGCGAGATGGATGCGTTGAAGAAGGATATTGAAAGTCTGCAAGCAGCAGTTCGTTATCTGCGTGATGACAATCGTCGTGCGCGCATGAAGGAGCAGCAAGACTACGAGTGGCTCTCTGAGCCTCTGAAGAAGGAACCCAGCTCAGAGCAGCAGCGCAAGGCTTTGGTGGTTGCTGAGGGCAAGGATGTGCTTGGAGAGCTCCTCAAGATGGCAACGTCGGCCACCGTCTTCGACCTCAGTGCCGCGCCCAAGCAGAAGCTGGCCTGGCGCCCTGCTAGAACGACACCACAATATCACGCCGCGAAGCAGACAGAAGAGCTCGAGGCCTGGAGGACTTGGCAGGAGTCGGTGCTCAAAAAGACGGACATGCTCTTCGCTCAGGATCGCAGCATCAGTATCGGCAGAGAGAAGCAGCAGGCCGGCACGAAGCGAGAAGCTGCGGCCCGACTGAGAATCAGACTGCCTCGCGATGCCGCGCAGGGCAAGTTGACGACGTACTCGGGAGACAGTGTGCAGATTGTTGGGTCGCAGGAGTGGGATGCTTTGCAAGCCGCCACGAGGAAGTTCGCTGCTGTATAATGAAGCCTCTGAGAACATATGTGTGTATGAACGCCAAAAAGAAACGACTTTTGTTTTTGAACTTTTTGTTTATTTTGTCTTTTTTGTTTTTGGTGTGAGTGGTTGTAGACAATGGGAGATTTGAAGCTCTTCTGTATACCCCCCCTGTTTGCTTAGCCGACTCCCCCTGAGGTTGTCCTGTATGTACCTTAGCTTTATATGTACCGTTACGATGATTCTTGTATGTGTTCAAGATTTTGAGATTCGATGCGCTGGTTGTGTTGGAGCGAGCGAAGTGAGCGATGCAAACAAAGATAGAAACACAAAAAGGGGATTTGGTGGTGATGAATAGATAAGATGATATGGAATCCTGTGTGTTTTAGACTGGTGTATGTTGAGTTGGTCCTTGTGGGTGTAATATGTGTGAGAGGTAGAGATTAACGTATAAATAGTCTTAGACAGACATTTTTCACTTCCAAACCTTCTAGTCCATGCTCACTGAATCATTACGAATTCGTCATTATTGAAAGTCGTATAACATCGCCATCATCGCAGAACCTTCTCTTGACTCTGGACGAACCATGTGAATAAATTGTACAAAACCCCCTCCCTTTTCTTCCCTCCATCAGGGTATTAGACTAACCGTCCTCCTTCTCATTCACTTCCACCCCGTTGTTTCATCAAGCTTTCCCCTTTCCCTTCTTGTCCTTCTTCTTCTTCTTCGTGCTCTCCTCAGAACCGCTCATGCCACCTCCACCCTGGCTAGCCATCAACGCAGCCATAGGATCGGCACCTCCCTGCATCTCCTTCATCATATCCTTGAACAAATTCTCCGAAACGCCTCCTCCCGTCATAGCCGCGCTCAAATACGGCAGATACTCGCCCATCTTCCACCCGCGCGGCACCGCAGGCTTAGGATAAGGCTTTCCCTCAGGCGGCTGAATCTGTCCGCCAAACCGCAGCCTCAAGCCCGGCGAGTTCTCCGTCGTCGGGTTCTCGCGCAGGTGCTTCGCGACGAGGACGTACAGGTGGTGCTTGTTGGAAATGTCGGCGGACCCGGGGCTCTTCTTGAGGCCGACTTTCACGCGGCCCGGGTTGGCCCAGTCCTTGGGGTGGATCTTCTCGGGCTCGAGCAGCGTCTGCAGGCGCAGGCGGGAGCAGGCGTTTGCGATCTCGCGGGCGAGCGGGTTCTTGACGGCCAGGGCGGAGGAGACGCGGCGGCCCTCGGCGCGGGACCGCGAGGCGTCGAAGTAGACTGGGTAGAGGCATTGAAAACTGTTGTAGACGGAGCGGTCGGCCGTCGGGGGCAGCGTCGACGTCTGGGGGCCGGACAGCGGGTTGAGGATGTGGGCGGGGACGCTGGCGGCGATGTCTTCCTCGTCTTCCTCGTCTGAAGATTCGACGCGGTGCTGTTGCTGCTGGCCGGAGGGGCGGGCGCGCAGGATGTCTGATTCGGCAAAGTCGTCGAGGTCGACTTCTTCGGGGTCCGAGATCATGTCGGGGTCGCTGTCGGAGACTTCTTCTACCCGTGGGTGAGACATTGTGGGCGAGGAATTGGGGGGGATTTGCGCGGAGTTTGTAGAGGGAGGAAGAGGAGATGTTGTGAGAGAAGGAGGAGAGAGAGGAGAGAGAAGTGAGAGAGAAAGGAAAGCGAGTGGTGATGCGACGAAGGATAGAAAGAGGTTGAGGTGGAAGGTTGAAGTTGGGAATTTTGATATTGCCAGTTGCCAGATTCAATGGTGGGGTCGTTGCTGGAAGTGGTTGGTGGGGTCAATTGGTTGTACCTGGGGAATACCTGGGGCGCTCACTATCGCTTGGTGTGAGATGGCATTTCCCATAGGTACCTCGACTGTACCAGGTTGGCTGGAATTCAGTTTTATATAAAGAGACCACATGCTCTTATACTTCAGCCTCTAGATGAACAAAGCAACGATAATAAATGGGGAGAAAAGTTGTGCACTCTCTGTATAATTACTGCGTACTCAATAAGCGTTATTTGACAAAGGTAGAAGTGCCCCAACTTCACAAAAGCCGTATCATGTGTAGATCAAGAAAAGAAAAGCCCCAAACTCCAAAGTTTCTTATAAGCAACGTCTCCCTCCCCAGCGATGTCAATCTTGTCTCAAGCTCTCTCATTAGTTTCGTATCACGAGGTCTTAGGTTCTCTCATTATTCTCGAATCGTAAATATCGGGTCGTATGCCATAGATTCCGTACTCCCCGACTTCTAGTTAAGTAAGTTGGCGGTAATATACTGGTTTTTGAAAGTCGTCCCGGGAGGGTGAGCCTCCTCCGGAAATTTGCAAAATGGGTGCTGGCAAATACCGTCTCGGATGCTGGGGCACTGTCAAAGTGAATGTGAGTATGCATGCCGCGTAACAAACTTCTTCTATGGTTTACTGGAACATGCATCACTTACATGGTGGCCGTATATGCAATCATCGAGTTCGCAAAATTGACCAGAGGAGCACGGATTCTGGCGGGCCAGGACGGCAACCGCCTTCATCTCCTCGTCGCTGATCTTGTAGTCGTGGGCAAACGGGCAAATATCCTTCTTAGCGCAAGGCCCTCGGAGGTAGTGGTTGTTGCATAGCTTGTCGCCATCCTTTCGTCTCTTGATGACGTCCAAAATCAGGGTATTGACTCTAATAGGCTTGTCGAAACCGCGAGCGCCGGGATTCCAGTTATCAGGGGTACTCGGCGGGATCAACATGTAATGTGTCTCTAATTGAGCGCGCGCCTGGGGCTTATCCCGCCAAGATGCCGTCTGCGTGGGCTTTCGTGCCAAGGGGAGCGTGATCTGCGGCGGCGGGCTGGCGCTCGACACGATATCGGCATAGGAGATGATCGGGGTGCGAGTCTGACTGGAGCTGCTGGCGCTGATGGCTGGGCTTGCCGTCCTAGATGCTGCGTTTATAACCGTCTGAGTCAAAACCGCTGCGCTCGTCGGTTGGCTAGGTGCTAGAGCTGCCTGCGAGAAGGAAGAAAATTTGTCAAAGAGTTTGTCGTCGCGGAAGAGACCGTTGCCTAGTTTGGTTATGCCGACCTTGGTGGCCACAAGCTCAGGCACTGTAGCGAAGCCCTCGATGATGCTGATCCTCTGCCTGGTGGCCTCGTTCTGAACAGTTTCATCCAGGAATGGGGCATAACCAGCATCGTGCGAAATACCTAACAGAATATGCCGACAGTTGTGATTACGCAAGTGCCATCTCGCCGTTTCTGAGTTGACACAAACCAAAGTTAGCTCCATGGTCACTAGTGTTTGCTGTTCTGGGTGAGCTTTTCATTCTTCATCATACCTTTGACTTTCAAATCTGCTCTTTCTTTTCCGAAGCCAACGTCAACATAATCGAAAGTAGCCTTAGCTTGGGTGAAGCCTAGCGTGAAGTCTTTCAAGAGGCTCGGATTGTCTATGCAGCCATCCCGCTGCATCGCTTTGGCGAGCCCTGAAAGATTGGCGACGACTTTGACCAAGATTTGCAAATCTCCATCCTCGTCGCCAAACATTTCTAGCACAGCCGACAGCAGGGCATTGGCAGCCTTTTTACCGCCTTCAAGGCCTTGTTTGATCCATGTGTCTTGGAACTATCAAAAGAAAGAAAGTTAGTCGCAACGCTTTGGGAAAAGATTTCAACAGCGCAACGTACCACAAGACCATCGCCATCTATCAAGACCATGACGTAAGGATTATGATTCTGTGATTAGATATTCGTTAGTATCTTGCACTCTGTTAAGGAAAGAAAAAAAAGGAGAGGCGTCACATACCCTTACTTTGTCCATTTCTCTGCTCGTCTTGTCATGTGCGCTTTCTTCGCGAGCTTCACACAGCTGAACGCGCTGGAGTAGCTCCCTTTGGGTATTGACTGCATCTGCAAGGTTCATCTGAGAGTTGACCAGCCTCTGGCTTTCCTTGCGGAGTTCATTTTCGACACGATCGCAGTGTAATATGAGTTCCTGAAGGGTGTGAACATTGTTAGAAGAAGAACATGATGAATTTCGCTGGCGGTCAGTTATTCAATGACGAGAGGAGCACAAATGAAAAGGATAAAAGCAAGTAGCTCCATTTCATTTCATTCACACTGCAGTGTCGAGCTCAGAAAAGAGCAAAAAGAAGGCATCGTCAAATATCACAGAGCAGGGGACATGGAAAAAAAAAATCCACACACCTTGATTAAATTCTCCGAAGTGTCATTGTAATCTCGCAACGCATGATATCGGTTGACAAAACTCTGAATAGCATCCGGCCCAATGTATGAATTCATCTTGTCTGCCATTTTAGATGATGAAAATTTATTTTTTTGTGTGTGCGTGTGTTCTTTTCTATCTTCTTTGCCGCTGTTGCGAAGGATGTTGAAATCGATTTTTTTTCTGCCTTCGTCTAGTGAGAGCGCTAGACAGATAAAGCCGTGTAGAAGAAATAGAAGTAGGTGAGATGAAGAAGAGCTTCTTTCGTTATATATTTATTATATTTGACTTGCTGTTGAAAGATGGCAAGGATGAATGAATAGGGAAAGAAGAAAAGATATTATGCAGTGTGAATGTGTGATTGTTGTTGAGATCAAAAAGTGTGGCGACTCAGGTAGATTTTTTTTGGCCCTGTAAAAACCGAGCTGAGGTACTGTTTCAGTGCACTGCGGCCACCCGCTGTGGTTGATTGCAATAGCGGTGTCGCACGTGTTTGTGCAGTTGCCAAGCCCCCTTCCTTTGGAATGGAAAAGAAGCTGAGAAGATGAATCACTGATTGAGGCTGAATGATTAAATGCCAGGTTCAGCTTTTGTTTGTTGGTTGTCCGGGGTAGTGCACTATTGAATAGAAGGATTTCCAGGTTGGTTTATTTGTTTGCGCTGTGTCCACCAAGTACAAGTTGGAACTAGAGGGGCGTCGTTGCTCGCCATTTATGATAACCATGAGGATTAAAATTAATCCCAACGTCTTTAAACTGATCCTAAGGCTGGGATTAAAATTAAACCTGAGGACTTAAAATTGAATTTAGAGAGTCTTAAAATTGATACTTGAGGGCTTAAAATTAAGCATGTCACCATCCAACAGCGTTCTATTAAAAGTAACCTCTGATGCTTCCGTCTCGCGAAAAAGCTGGGGTTCGCAGCAGTCAGCGGTAAAACATGGCCCAGAGTAGACTAGCGCAGGCGTTTATTCCATTGCGTTGAGATCTGGATACTGTACTCTGCCTGTTTGTGCTTTTCTTATTCTGAGCAGAACGGAGACATTCTCTGTGCTAGTACGATGAAGTACTAATATTAATAACTTGAAGCTGTGGTTTGATCCTCTCCAAGCTGTAGCGGTGACTTGGTGGTACTCGTTTGTAGTCTTGCCTGTGCCCTTAGCAGGGGGGAAGCAAAGCTGGAAGCTAGGGACGCTGGCCTGCTCGTTTTCAAACGGCTCTGCGCATTAAGAAGCGTTCGTTTGCCGGCCTTGGAACCAATCATCCTTGTCCCCCAAAGACTCAGCCGCTTGAGTTCTTCCTGTGTGTCTCAGAAAAAAACGAGCAGAAGCCTCCAGTTTAGTTGCTAGTGTAGTAGCACAGAGTCAGCCACCTCATCAAACTCTTTTCCGCCTCTCTCCTGGCCCGTTCCATCGTGTCATCACCGCTAGTTCCTTCAATTCATTCAAACAGCACGGCACATTCACGCTATCCTCAAAAGGCCTCCCGTCTCAGCCAGTTTCGTTGCTACCTGGCTGATGCTGGTTGAAGAGCTGCCACACTGTATCTTGCCCAAAGCCTCCCTCAAACTGCCACAGGAATGAATCGTCCCCAAGCATCTCCGTGTCGGTCTTTAGTGCGACGTCTTCGTCCTGGTCTACCGTCAGCTCTTTGTATATGAGATCTCCCATCGCGAAGAAGGGCGCAATGCCAGGGAAGCCATTCCTATCTTGCGGCATCTCCCATCCGCCCGGCATCATTGATGAGAAAGCAGCCGACCCATCCTCTCCGGTAGATGGTGCCGCCACCGCCGGCGACACCAGCTCAGAGGACACCTTGACACTTCCTTCGGCTGAGCTCCGTCCGATCGAACCCCTACCGATCGAACTTGCCGGCGTCGACCCCAGGGTCCTCGTCGTCGATAGAGGCGTGTCAGAGGCGTTGCGTAGGGTATCAGCAGAAGCGCTGATAGAAGATGGGGGCGCGCAGTTCCCAATGGCTTTGACTAGTCTAGCCACGACTGCGCGGAGAACTCCTATCGCCGACTTGGCCAAGGGGTTCATGTCCTTCATGGTTGCAAACCGCTCAACCGTCCAGTGGCAATGCTGCAGCGCCATTTCTCGATAATCGGCATTCTCGTAAGGGAACAATATGTAGATGGTTGCAATCAGCGTGACAGCGTCGAAACTACCGTAAAATAAATGCCAGCTAGATGAAGAGGGAAAACAAAAGTTAGTCAATACTTCTCAATGAGGATATGTGCAGTTTCGAAACTTGGGCGAGACATACTTCCTCCAGGATTTTGGTGGCAGCCCTGCAAACAGCTGCCTCTGCATTTCAAGCATGCCAAGACTGCCCTTTATGACTTCAACTCGGCTC